GTACTCCAAAATAATAGTATGACGTACAGCTTATACATGGGCGGATCGCGCTTTTGAAAAAGGGGGGGCCAGTAAGAATAAGCGGCATTTTATAAAAAGGGCCGAAGGCAGTTGATGCAGACGTTGTAAGGAACGTTGACACTTAATTAGGGGGGGGGGGGGTTAGGGGGACCACCGCCCAAAAAAAATTACAAAAAGTTCGTGCATTCTGAGCAAAGATCTGAGCAGTATATTTGATGTCTGGTAGAAGCAAGATGGAATTCCAAAACTTGGAAGCAGAAAATTATCTCTGTAGGGTTTGCCCCCCTTTTTTTTTGGGGTAAAAAGGGAAGGGCCGGGGGCCGCCGGCCGCCGCGCCGCTCCGGCCCCGGGACCATCCCCTCTGGATACACAGACACATTCCAACTGAGAAACAACTGTGCTGATATTAAAAATCTGGTGATAGAAAGAGTATATTACGTTAACTTAAAGGAAGGGTGGGCGGGCTGGTCACTCCCCGGGAATTTTGAAAATCGGGATCACCTTGAAATGAAATTCCTGCATTCTGAGAAGAACATGCACAAATTCTGGATATCAGAAAAGGGAAAATCCTCAAAAAAATTAGGAAAAAATAGGAAATTTGTCCAGAAATAGTGAGAAAATAGGAATTCCCAGAAAAGTAGGGAAATAGGAAATAGGAACTTGAATCCCCTGCAGTCACTTCACATCACAAGACTGCTAGAACATTACATTCTGGCGAATCAGACCAACATCTCAGCACAAAAGACAACCGACAGTCTCTACTTCACGCGCGATAGCTGCAGACCGAATGACGTCACAACATCCAAAAATGGCGCTAGATGGAGCCAACGTTTGGCCAAACTCTCCCTCCTAACGCTATAGCCACTCGTGAAAAAGGGTCAGAACTTATTTTAATTCTTTGACACCGTTACAATACGGTCCACACGTAAGTGGTAATTAACGTAATTAGTATGTAATGTAAACGTTATCATTAGCGCTGCGGTATCTAGCATTGGCTTCCTTAATTGCGCTAGCACTTCTACAGTAACTCGCAGTAACCACAGTAGATGGCGCCACTCCACGCGTGTCTCGATTCGAAGCACGGGTGTATATAGAGACCGTTATAAAAATTAATGTAACATGGTTAAATAATATAAACCTGTATAACGTAATAAATACGTCGCCCGCGCGGTGTATAAACTACGATCGATCGTTGACATCGACTAGGATTATTGTTTTTTTTATGTTTTGAGAGTTTATTGCAGCACTTGAGGAAGCGCGTACGTCTCGGTTAGAAAACATAAGGTGCAACAATAGAAGCAGCGATTCTATTCGTGCTTCACCGAGAACACACGCGGCATTACCGACCAAGTATTGACGCCGCTAGTATATAATTAATCGCGAGATCAGCGACCAAGGATTACGCCGTCTATTATATATATATAATATCGCATCACCGACCAAACGGATTACGCCGCTCTTATATATACTAGATCGCATCACCACCAAGTATTACGCCGTCTACTATTATATATACTATATCGCATCACCGACCAAGTATTACGCCGTCTATTATATATAATATAGGTATATATATATAACATATATTATCGCTCACCGACCAAGTATGACGCCGTCATTAATATAGATATATATATCGCATCACCGGACCAAGTATTACGGCCATCTATTACTGTATAATATATATATATATAGATAATTATATTATCGCATCCACCCGACCAAGTATTACGCCGTCTATCATAATATATATATTATATATATATATATCATATTATATCGCATCACCGACCAAGGTATTACGCCGTCGATAGAGATATATATATATATAGATACTATATATTATAAATATATATCGCATTCCTCGACCCAAGTGATTACGCGTCTTTATATATATCATAATATACTACCAGGGTACTCCAGTATAGCTATATGTATAGTATAGCTCATCGCCGATCACTGAAGAGCGCGTCATGCACGACTGTCTATCATAGCTATCGCGTCCACCAGAGTACGCTAGTCACACAAGCCACGTACTGCGACACTAATGATAATATATATGCATAAGAAGACACACAGTAGTATCATAGATATAAATATATATAGATTAGATATAGGTGAGGAGTTTGTGGACCTCAAGGTGTGAAGGAGAAAGTTATATGCACGAGGGAGTATAGTATAATGAGAGCGCCAGGTCGCTGCTGCGTGAATGACAAACAACAAAGCGGCGCGTAGAAGTCGGAGCTTCGCCACGCGCGTGCGGCCACGCGGTGGCGCCGCCTGCTCAGGGCTCGCCGTCATCGTCCCTCTTCGTCCTTATCGTCGCGGCTCCCCTGCGGCGGCGGCCGTCGGACCGGTCAGCAGCAATGCTTGGCGGCGCCACGGGCCGGCTCGATCCTGCGCGCGTACCTCGCTCACCTTCGAGTCTGGCCCCATCATCGGCGGTGAGCGCCCCCACTGAAGACGGCGTAGAGTGGCGCTAGCGCATGGCCGTTCGCGGGCTAGTGGGGGGAGAAACGCGACCGACCCGCCAGCGCCACCTGGCCGTGATGCGCCTCGGCGGGAAACGCATCGCGGAGATCAGACGCAAAGCGGTTTACGTCTAGTGGAGTAGTCGCGAGACGAGGGGGCGCGCGTGGACTGAGAGTGGCAGGTGTCGCCCCCGACTGAGGTGCAGGGGTCTCCCGGACCTGAGTGCGGGGGTCTCCCGATCTGAGCAGGTCGCCCGGACTCGTGCAGGGTCGTCACTGACTGAGTGCAGCGGGGGGTCGCACGACTGAGGTGCAGGGGGTCGCCACGACGGACTGCAGGGGTTCACCCTGACTGAGTGCCAAGGTCACCCTGACGAGTGCAGGGGTCGCCCCGACTGCACCGCAGCGGGTCGCCGACATCAGATGCGGCGGTCACCCTGACTGAGTGCATGGGTTGTCCTACTACTAGGTACAGGGTTGGTGGGGCTGTGTGGGGCTGTGTGGGGCTGGATGGGTGTGAGGGATTAGTACTATCTACAAACGGTCACTCGGTCACTAGGTACAGAGGCAGGGTGGGGCGGTCTCTGCTAGTACAGGCTGGCTGGGAGGCAGGTGAGGTCACTGCTAAGTATAGGACTGGGTGTGCAGGCAGGGCGCGGGTGGGGCGACTGCTAGGTACAGGCTGGCGTGTGGCAGGCAGGAGCTGTAAGGGTCCAGGCTAGGTAACAGCTGGGCTGGGAGGCCAGGTGTGGGTCCTGGCTAGGTTAACAGCTGGTTGGTGAGCAGGGTGAGGGGTCAGCTAGGTACAGGTGAGGTGTGAGGCAGCGGTGAGGGTCACTGCTAGGTACAGGTGGGTGTGAAGGCAGGTGTGAGGTTACTGCTAGGTACCAGCTGGGTGATGAGGACAGCGGTGGGGGTCCTGCTAGGACAGCGCTGGGGGTGTGAGGCAGGGGAGGGTCCTGGCTACGGGTACGCGCTGCGGTGTGAGGCAGGTGGAGGGTGAGGGGTCACTGCTAGGTACAGGCTGGGTGTGAGGCAGGGTGAGGGGTCACTGCTAGGTACAGGCTGGGTGTGAGGCAGGGTGAGGGGTCACTGCTAGGTACAGGCTGGGTGTGAGGCAGGGTGAGGGGTTACTGCTAGGTACATGCTGGGTGTGAGGCGGTCACTCACCGCAGTCGCTATCGTCCAGCCGGCTGTACTTGTTCGCGTCTAGCTTCGGTACGCTGGCTGCTAGCGGGTTCCACGTGTACGCCTGTGGGCACAGCAGCTGCGCCGGTCGCACGTTGCCCTGCCGACCAGAAACACCGCATTAATGCTCGTGACTGCCAACAGATGGCGTCGGTAGCGCGCTAAGTCACTACTACGTCGAATCATCTACGGCCGCCAACAGATGGCGTCGGTAGCACAAGAATAGTCTAGGGCTACCAACAGGTGGCATTGGTAGCATGCAAATCGTCGATGGCTGCCAACAGGTGGCACCTAAGCACGTGAAATCATGCGCGGCGCATGCCAGGTGGCGCCCCCTACCTTGTAGCGCATCTTCGGACACGATTGTACGTAGAAGCCCATGCCATAGTAACGCATGCGCGGGTCCTCCCGCATCAGTTGCCGCGTCAGCGCCACCTCTCTGCAACGCCGGGAAAACAAAAGAACGCCTGCGGTCAGTCGTGCTGCGGCCGACATCGTCGGCGCCCCCTGGCAGCGTGAACGCCGCTCATGGACACCAAAAACTATTAGCAAAAATTATTTACCGATTATAGTTATTCGGTTAACGAAATCAATCAATTCATTAGCATATCTAATTAGTTTACAAATTCAATCATTTAATTATCAAAATTAATCAAACACGAAAATTAATCATTCACGAAAATGAATTAGCACACAAAACCTATTAAACATCAAAATTAATCCGTCAATTTAAATTAATCAAATAAATCAGTCACATCAACCGATCGATCGTCGACATCTGATTGATCCAGCGAGCGTTAACCCAATACGGGGTCGACCGGGAATCTTCCCCGCCTTCCCCCCTCTCACCTGAGCGCTGCGTAGGTGCCGAGAGAGAGGAAGCTGTAGTCTGGGTCGTAGTAGAAGTAGACGGAGGAGACGTAGCGAGGGAGAAGGTCCAGCACTCCGACGGCGATGAGTCGTCCGTCCAGCCAGTACTGCTGGTGGTAGGATCCACGCCCCGCCTCCTCCTGTTACACACACATACATATATACATACATATACATATATACATGGTTAAGGAGGGGTGAGGAGAGGGGTGATGGGAGGAGATCTGACTGCGACAGAGAAGGTGAGGAGGGAGGCGGGCGTGGATCCTACTCCAGCAGTACTAGCTGGGGACGACGGACTCACCCTCCCTCCTCCTCCCTACATTACTCCTCTCTCTTCCTCACCTCTCCTCACCCTCCTTAAGCCAGTGTATAGTGTATATGTATGTGTGTGCTAACAGGAGGAGCGGGGGCGTGGATCATACACAGCAGTTACTGGGGGACGACGGCTGCACCTCCCCTCCCTTTCGACATATACTCTCTCCGTCCCCTCACCTCTCCTCACCCCGCTTAACCTGTAATATATATGTAGGTGTGGTGTAACGGCAGGAGCGGGGATCGATAGGCGGCACCAGGCGGGAGTACTGCTGGACCGGACGCTACGCCGTGCCCCTCCTACCTCCGTACATAACCTCCTTACCTCCCCTACGCTCTCTCACCTCCTTGAACACATGTATATGTATATATGTATGTATATATGTATTGTTGCACAGGAGGAGTCGGGGGCGTGGACTCCTACCACAGCAGTACTGGGGACACGACTGCACCCGTCCCCTCGCCTCCTCCCTACATAACCTCNTCGTATGTTCACATCGAACTACCCCCACGCGACCGCCTGTTTACCGATACGTCCCTACCATATGGTCCGGACATGTATGATGTGAAAACGTCTGTCCACCGCGACTCGGAAGGCCTAATCCCACCAGAAGTTAGTACTCCTAGTTCATATGGCACTTAGCAGACCGTTTGATTGCGCATACGCTGATTTACATTACTGCGGATCAATGCACAGTAAGCGCCTGCCATTAACTGCCTCGGCCTTATGCCGAGGTAGGCAGCCTAGTATCGCGGGTGCACGCATCATTCGTAATGTACATCGCGCTCACTGTACTGTTGTTTACCGCTTATAGTCAGTCGCCACATATTGCTATTGTTGGTCGCTGCCGCCCGCCCTCACAAACCTGAGCCGCCAGCCCCAACCCACGTCCAACGACCTTTCCCCACCTCCCTCTCAGACGTACATAGAATAGAAAGCTACCCACCCACCCCAACCTAGACCGACCTCGAGCCTCGTTCGCTACTTTGCCGGCATGCCACTAACAATGGTCTTGAGCCTCAATACGAATAGCGGTTCCTTCGACCCTATAACACCACTTTCCAGTCCAGATGGACCATGGCCCCAGGCCGTCCTCCTTGCAATTACCCCACCACCCACCTCCGTAATGTACGATCCCCGCTAATGCACAAATATCACACAAATACTCTCCGACACGACCCAATTCCCCAACCCTAAGATTCCATAGCTCACTCCCTACTACACCGACATATCGTCTCTACGGCCCCGCCCAGTGCGCCTTCTATAGCCCACACCAGTCCCTTGTCCAATACCACCACTCGCGTTGTTTAGCTTCCTCTCGCGATATTAAGCTAGGGGTTGATTAGATTGCGTGATGCATCGCCATTCATTTTCCCCCCTAGCACTTTGATGAGTGGCCCATTATTTAATTAATACCGGTTAAGGATAGTTTTACTGCCTCGACGACGTTGGCAGCGACTGCCACCGCAGCACTAGTCTGTTAGTTACTAAGAGATAATGTATTGCATGTTCGTAAAAGCGCACTATAAGTAACACGCGCTTCATTATAACGCATATATTCGGTCAGACGCCGTTTAAAGCTGGGCCCTGGTTGATAACTCTGCCTTATTCGCCCGGCTTATACGCGACCGCGTTTGCTATAATTTTCCAGCGCCGCTTATGCCACTAACCGGGCAGTCATTGATATATTACTGTCCCGGCTATATATCGTGCCACGTATATCATACAACTGACATTGCCAGGACACCACCAACAACAGCCAAGACGGGTGACAGCCCGATAAACCCCAACCATTCCCAGCGCCCGTCGCCGCACTGCCAGATGGGCGCAACACGCCTGCCCTACGCTGACTGCGCCTGTGCCATCTGCCGCCTCCGCACCATCGCCCGCGATGCCGCCGTCACTGCACCATGGCCACCAGCGTTATACGGCTGCAGGCGCCAGCCCACCGCCTGCATATGTGAAAGTTCTGCGCCGCAAGCGCCGGAGAAAAGCGTGCTCCCCGCCCCCGCCGCGGCTGCATCAACGGCATGCAAGGCCGCGCAAAACCCCGTAACCCTACCCGAAAGCCGCCGACACCACCGGAGGCTCCACCGACGTATACACCTCCGCCGAAGAAGACTCAGACGATGACCTATGGGACATCGGACGCCAACGCCCCGACCGCTATTACGCCGGCCACTTCGTCGAGTCGGACGTAAACACAGACCCAATTATGTACAAGTTCGTCGTCGGCGAGAAGGACGACCCGGTGCGAACCACCTTCAACCCGCAGCACATACGCCAAATGCACCGATCGCTCGGCCACTAGCGGCCCTTTTGGCCGCCTCAAAAATGTCGCGTCACCCGCCACCCCAACAGACACGATTCATCAAGATGATGACGACGGTGACCATGACCCCGATAACAAATGCGACGTCATGAACACTAATTCCAAATTAGGTTTTTTCAGGACACAAGTAGCAAACGAGTAGTTCTGTAAACCGTAAGGTATCAATGTGTTATTGTATTATTATGTATTATTATATTATGTATTAATGTGGATCATATTGTATTACTATGAATTATTATATTATGTATTAATGTGGATCATATACTAATATTACAATGCCACGACGTCGACCGCCCGCCCTCCCTGTGGACGGCCAGCCAGGAGGCTGGCATTCGATGTCCACAGGGTGGACATCGGTTTGGTGGGGGGAGAAGTGTAACGACCATGTTACAAGGCACTCCCCCCCTCACACGCGCGCAAGCTCGCCGCGTCGCTACAGGCGGTTGACGGAGGCATTGATTCTACGGCGTTGCCTCTAGCAACAACAGGCGGTCAATACGGCCGTGAGCTGAGCGAGCTGAACAGTCAAAGCAATCAAGATGGTGGCCCGCCGTCGCCGCGACATGCCGCTGCAGTGCCGCTGTCACGGCGTGGGTGTGCCGGCTGATTGGGGGATTAACTCCACCCTCCCAATCAGCTGGCGCGTACGTGTCGTGATTAATGGCAGCAGCACTGGCATGGAGGCGAGAACGGCCGTGTGATGCGCCCACGCGCTAACGCCCGATGCGACTGTTAGAGCGCTCGACCGTGGAGTGTCCACCAGGTGGGTGGGATAGCGATTAGATGCGCGCTAAATGCAGCGTGAACAACTATCAACGCTCGGGGCGGCGGCCATATGAATGGCGCGTGCGTGTCTGCGCGAATAGACGGCGCCATCTCCTGGACTCGGATGGTGCTACGAATAGTGGGTTTTCCGCCCGTTAGGAGCCGGCCACCGTCCAGAGCGAGGAGTGAGTGAAGCCCAGGTGAAGCGCGTGTGTCGGAGCGCGTGGGTTGAGGCCGCGCCGCGCGCGCGTACGTGGAGCATGCGCCGCGGGCCGTGGCAGCGCCTATAAAAGCCGCTGCACAAGCGGATTCGAGGAATGCTCCTCCAACTCCGGACACGACCGTTTGTGTAGTAGAACAATAGCGAATCTCAGTCGGAATTAAACATCAGTCATGGTATATACTCTTTGACTTGCTCTTTATCTATGTCTTTTGGCTACGAGTACGACATTGCAATATACAACTATATCGTAACGTAAAACGCTGCATTACAAATTTCCATAGACTCCATTGTCAAACGATATCCAATTAAACTCAGATCGAGATAATAATTACAAGAAGCATCTAGCATTCTAGCTACCGGTATCAGAATGGTTTGAATTTCGGCGCGGACTGAATTCCGAAATCGTAGGGTACGGTAAAGCGTAGTTGATAAACAATTTTCGCGCTCGCGGGAAGCATAGCTGAGGCGGACTGAGCTTACCATGACAATTACGCCGGTCTCGCACTCATCGCACGCAACTCAGGTGGTCGAGAACAGCAGTATAAAACGACTTATCCCGAGCTAAAGTTATCCCGCTTCAGAAGCGGGCTAAAGTCGTGCGCAGTATAAAAGGAGTATGATCAGTGCGCGCGTGTATCATGTGGCTGTAAAAATCGTGGCACTTACACACACACACACGCATGCACGCACACACAGACACACGCACGCACGCACACGCACGCACGCACACACACACACATACACACGCACGCACGCACGCACGCACACACACACACACACACACACACACGCACGCACGCACACACACACACACATATATATATAAAGAGCTCATAATATAGCTCTCTATTATGAGCGCTTGACATTATGCAATGTTATGAATATCAAATGCATCAGCATGCACTAAAAATCGTTTCTAAACTACACTTTCCAAAATAGTAGGTCTCAGGGGAGAGATAGTGAATATAGAAATAAGTTTAACCCTAACCCTAACCCTAATCCTGACCCTAACCCTAAACACTATCCCTAATTCTAAAATAAAACAAAATTATCCAAAAATAATAATAAATAAAATAAATAAAAGACAAAATTAGCCAATCAGAGCCGTTTTTTGTTAGCATTTACCTCTAGCGGAACACTATCTCTCCCCTGTGCAAAAATCTTTTCCGAAAAGCTAAATAACTAACAATGATACAGGAGCTCAAAAATGACACAACTACATATATAGGTTAATCAAACAAACAATTTTATTTTGCGTGGGTTCAAAGTCTAAAGTCTAAAGTCTACAGTCAGGTTTTACTTTTAAAGTTTTACAGCCGTGGTAAGCTCATAATGCCGATCAGGCTGATATCTGACACAGTGCCCTCGAACTACGAAGAGTCAGTCACTCACCATTCCAAGATTGCTAGACATTACATTCTGGCGAATTCACAACAAACATCTCTGCAACAAAAGATACACGACAGTCTCCACTTCACGCGCGATAGCTGCCAGATGATGACGTCACAACATCCAAAATGTCCGCTAGATGGAGCCACCATGGGCCAAACTCTCCCTCCTAACGACTATAGCACTCATTAAAAAGGGCTCATAATTTATTTTAACTCTTTGACACCGGTATTAATTACGGCCACACGTAAGTAGTAATTAAACGTAATTAGTATTAAGTAAACGTAATTAGCTCGGTTCTAGCATTGGCTTCGTTAATGAGACACCGATTATGCGCGCACCTGCCGCTAGCGGCGCTGATCGTCAACGCGGTTACTCAGCAACACGCAATTAGTCAGGTCCCTTAGTGCAAGATATGGCCGATAGTACAGGAGTGACAAAAGTCTCAAACCTGGCACAGTTGTAGCTTATGGCAGTACTATAATTATTAGAGGAAGTGCCCAATGTAGATATTCCTTAGAAGTGAATTACAGATGATGAAATGTTCGAACCACCCGACCGTCCGCAACCCCTACCGCGCCCGCCTGTATACCATGCCAATACATGTACCAGCTGTACAATGCGCCAGTACACCAGAGCATATAAATCACTGATTTATATACTCTGAGTACACACAGTACAGGCAGGCGCGGTAGGGGGTTCGGAGTCAGATGGTTCGAACATTTAATCATCTGTAATTCACTTCCGCGCGCATATATTTGCTAATACATTGACTAATCGTGCGTCAATAAACTCAATATTCACAGAGAGTATAGCCAAGACATGTGTCTATAGGTATCTAGAATTTTAGAAATGTAACTCAAATCCATAGGTATTCCATTGTATATCGTATCATATTACACGTATAACCATCCGTGCGGACACACGCTGCATCACCAATGACGTATTACGCCGTCTATTATATATATATATATATATATATGACTATATATATATATCGCATCACTAAAGACGTATTACGCCGTCTTATTATAAGTATTATATTATATATAATATATATGATTCGCCATCACTAAAGACTGATTACCGCCGTCTATTATATATATATTATATATATATATATATATATATATATATATCGCATCACTAAAGACGTATTACGCCGTCTATTATATATATATTATATATATATTTTATATATAATATCGCCATCACTAATAAGACGTTTACGCCGTCCTATATATCGCGTCAACGATTACGTATCACACAAGCCACTACTGCGAACTAATGATATATATATATATATATCCATATATATACATATACACACATATATATATACATATACATACATATATATATATATATACATACATATATATTTATACATATATATATATATATATACATATACATACATATATATATACATATATATATAGATTATATATATGTGTGTGTGTGAGTATATAATTTATATGCACGAGTATATATATATATGAGATCGCCATCGCTGCTGCCGTTAATGACAAAAAACAAATGCGGGTCGAAATCACAGCTTCTGCACGCGGCTCCCAGGTGGCGCCGTCCGGCTCAGTCGTCCGAGCTGTCGTCATCCTCCTCGTCGTGGCTCCCCCTGGTGGCGGCGGCGTCGGACCGGTACAGCAGCATGCTGGCGGCGCACGGCCGACCGACCAATCGCGCGTACTCGCTCACCTCCGAGGCATCGGTGGCGCCCCCGCTGTAGACGGCGTAGGTGGCGTAGCGCATGGCCGTTCGCTTGTAGAGAACGCCGACCGACGCCAGCGCCACCTGGCCGTGAGCGTCCTCTGCGGGGAAACGGCAGCGCGGAGATCAGACGCAATGTGTTTTACGTTGTGGAGTATCGCGAGACGAGGGGTCGCCCCGACTGAGTGCAGGGGTCTCCCCGACTGAGTGCAGGGGTCGCCCCGACTGAGTGCAGGGGTCGCCCCGACTGCGCGCAGGGGTCGCCCTGACTGAGTGCAAGGGTCTCCCCGACTGAGTGCAGGGGTCGCCCCGACTGAGTGCAAGGGTCTCCCCGACTGCGCACAGCGGTCGCCCTGACTGAGTGCAAGGGTCGCCCCGACTGAGTGCAAAAGTCGCCCCGACTGAGTGCAGGGGTCTCCCCGACTGAGTGCAGGGGTCGCCCGGACTGAGTGCAGCGGTCACCCTGACTGAGTGCAGGGGTCGCCCCGACTGAGTGCAGGGGTCGCCCCGACTGAGTGCAAGGGTCACCCTGACTGAGTGCAGGGGTCGCCCCGACTGAGTGCATGGGTCGTCTTACTACTAGGTACAGGGTTGGTGGGGCTGTGTGGGGCTAGATGGGTGTAAGGGGTTAGTACTATATACAAGCTGGGTGTTAACGGTCACTCGGTCACTAGGTACAGAGGCAGGGTGAGGGGTCACTGCTAGGTACAGGCTGGGTGTGAGGCAGGGTGAGGGGTCACTGCTAGGTACAGGCTGGGTGTGAGGCGGTCACTCACCGCAGTCACTATCGTCCAGCCGGCTGTACTTGTTCGCGTCTAGCTTCGGTACGCTGGCTGCGAGCGGGTTCCACGTGTACGCCTGTGGGCACAGCAGCTGCGCCGGTCGCACGTTGCCCTGCCGACCAGAAACACCGCATTAATGCTCGTGACTGCCAACAGATGGCGTCGGTAGCGCGCTAAGTCACTACTACGTCGAATCATCTACGGC